ATTGTATTATAATTATTTATTATTTTATATTAAATATTAATTAATTAACTCTATTTAATATTTAAATACTTTTTTCTATGACAGCACATTTAGATATAAATAAACGGGTTAACCCGCTGGATTTGGATTATATTGTCATATCCATTATCTATACCTCATATAAATCCTCTTTAAGTAGGTTAACCCTACAAAAAGCTCTAACATATAAATATGGCATGAGATCATATTCAATGATATATATTTACACCCAATAGTGTTCTGGTATAAAAATACACAAAATTACCTAATCAGAGATCATAATCGAGTTAGTGTGGCATCATTTTTTCTGTATCAACTAAATATGCGCCTAAAAGTATGCTTTGAATTTTAATATGAAGTCAATTGAGTTCAGGGACGGAAGTGCCAAATTAAACATTTTTCACTTACATACTTTTGATCTTAACGTATACTTGTTATTAATTCTGTTTGCCTGGTATTTCTGTATTTTCAGTAAAACGACACTTTTTTCAACGAGAAAAAAAAATCAGCCAAGCCTAGACGAAGGAAGCCGTGTTTTGTGTGTGATTCGTACTTTATATTTGAAAAACTGCTTCGGAGCTAATTTTTTAACATATCCCAAACATTTTGGTATTGATATTTATTTGTTTTATTTAATATTATATTATTTATAATAAATTATTTATTATTTAATAATAAATAATTAAAACATTATTAAATATTTAATATTTAAAACAATTTCCAAATGTGGAAATCTTCTCCCTCCTTATTCATTTTATTCCCATTCTAATTTTTTATGTTTATATATATTTCTGGACCTTTAAATATTGTTGTAGTTCTATTAAAAAAAACTGTTTTTGCACAATTTTCCATTTGATTTTATCTAACTAACCATTAAAATTTTTAATTTCCATTTTTAAAAGATTAAAACTTCAGACCTCAATTTTTTGTAAATAAAACATTTGTTTTTTTATTTTTTATAAAATTTGATTTTATTGATTTCTTCTCTCCCCATTTGGGGGATTTCTGTTAGTTATTTATTACAAAATGAAATGGTTTAATATTATTAAGTAAACTATATAAATATGATTATTGATTACAAAACATATATATAAATTAATTGAAATTATCATCAAGTCATTGTAAATAACTTCATTAATAAACGATAAATAAAAGTCATACATGAAATTGTTTTATATATTTAATGGTGAAAATAATCGATATAATGTGAATAAAATTATTATATATTACGAACGGAGTTTTGTTTTTTTATATAATTATTTTAAATATGAAACCAATTAAGCCGTTTTTGTAATGACGACCGCCATTCGGGTTGTTGTGGGCTTTGGATTCTTTTAAATTGCCTTCAGTGTTTTTTTTTGTTTTTTATTTGTTTTGTACAATTTTATTGTAATTAATTTTTATTTTGTATTGAATATTATTTTTTTTTCTCTTCTGAAGTTTAACTAACTATATAAATTTAGGTATATAATTTTGTGTTTATATGTGTCTGTGTTGGTGTGAATTGTGTTAGTATGTATGTTTACATAAGAAGTCAATTATCTTATTTGGAATTATGCTACATATATATGCATATGTATTTGTGTTTATATATAAATTTTAATATAAATATTTATTATATATAATTGTTTGTATTTTTTTTCGTTTCAGTGTATCTATCTTGTTTATATAAATTAATTGTATCTTACATTTAATTTGTTGTGGGTTTTCATGTATACAGGGTGTCCCAAAGTGAATGTATAATTATGAAAATTCATGATAAATTTCACAGTGTGAAGAAAATGTAATTTATAAATAAATCCAATATTGTAATATTTTATTGTAATATTTATTTTTTAATTTAAATTTTCAAAAAAAAAAAAAATAAAAAAATTAATGAATAAATAGAAAAGTTATTTATTTCCATATCCATTTTTTAAACGGGATTTAAAAGAAATATATTTTTTTATAGTTTGAGGTTGAAAATAGTCTCCATCTACCATTGATGGAGTCATAAAGCCCGATGTTCGAAATTTTGAAAATTTTTGCAAAACTAATGTAGACATCAGCGTCTTACGCTCTTCATAAATTTCTTGCATTACCATTCACTTTTGCCACACTCTGTAACAATTCATTTACGTTAACCTATACTTAACCAAAATCGTTTACAATATCCTAATTCATATTTTTTTGAAAATATGCATATGTATTGTGATGTGAACGGTAGAAAAGAAAATAAATTGCAATAATTTATTTCTATATGTATAATTTTTGAACAGGTTAGCTTAATATCGAAAACAGAAATTTTGTTGTTGCCCACATAACTTATACAAATTTAATTTGCATAATGAACACTTGAGAGATTTTTTAAAGAAATAGTTTTACATTAACTCTATGTTTTTCAATTCGTTTTTTTATATTTTAGAAAATATTTACAGATTTTTTTTATTATTTTTTTTTTTTTTAATTTTTGTCTCGATTTTTTTTATCAAAATATCACATTGAGAAATGTGTTTGTGTGGGTATTTGACATATTTTTATTGCCAATTTGTTTAAAATAATGTTCAAAGTTATTTAATTATTATTTTTGTTATAAATACCACTGATGTAAAAATATCAAAAAAAAAAAAAATAATAAAATAAAAATAATTAATAAATATTTTTTTAATTAAAATAAAATTAATTGTTTATTTTTTTCTTTTGCAAAAAGAAGAAAAATTATATTTAATCGATATTACCAACGAAATTCCAATTTCCATGTATTTCACACAAATCTTTTCAGGGAATGTAAAACGTATGCAGTTTCTAAATAACAGAATACAAGTTTATATGCAGTTCGGGTACTTTCTTTCGCCACAATTTTTATACATTACTTCATCAAGTGGAAAGATTTTAATGTACCCATTAACGGCTCTGAATATCCAGCATGTCCGTATCACCAAAATACCGAAAATAGGGAGGTATCATTATATGGGGGCTATACCAAAACGTGGACCTACATGGCCCATTTTCAATACCAACAGTCCTGCAGATAATATACATTTGAGTACAATTTCATCAACCTTCATAAATCGACATTTTATGCTGATCATGCTGTTGGGTCTAAAATGTATGTTTCGAGGTGTTACAAACGAAATGACAAACTTAATATAGCCTCCATACTATGGTGAAAGGTATACAAATGTATTTGAAATAGATTGATGTAAATTCTGTTAAAACACAACTATGCTGAAGACTACGGATAATTTAATTTATATTGAGGTTAAAATGTGAAAAGTTCATTCTTACTAATTCCTTCCCCACAAAGGGCCAAGGTTTTAAATTATCAGAATTCTCATAAGACGCGAAAAATACATTTATTTCCTTCAAATTTCATATTCGACTCCGACTTTTGACTTTATTGTGGACTTTGTATTATATACGATTTAATTACCGAGTGGAGTCCAAGATTAAGTTCGATGTCAGCATATCCTAATATTTTTTGTCAAACTTGGATTAGTAGCTCTCCAATAATGGTTTACAATTTTGGAATGTTTTCCTACATTTCTTTAAACTTCTTTTATCCTAATAGATTTGACTCTAATACCTCCCTCGCTTACGGCTGAAAAGTTGAATCCCATGTAAGATGAAAACATTACCACGTTGATCAAAACAACAAAAGTAAGTTTTAGTCTGAAATAGGTCAATTTTTTAATGAAATACGTAGGCCTATTAGTTGTGATACCACCCCACGAAAAATTAGCATTATTTTCGTGTTATACTAACTAGGTCTCCGATATTTTGATAGTTTAACTTCGACCAGGTTTCTAGAGTAATTTTGAAGGTCTTCTTCACAAAAATTAGTCAATTTGTCAAAAGAAAATTTCAAGGTTTTCCAAGGCGAAAATCGTTGAATGCTATTTTTTTAATGTTTTTAGGATAATCCTTTTTTCAACAATATTTTTTTTTAATATATTCTGAACAAACTATTTGAATTTGCTAAGAAAATTTGGGAACTTCCTGCATAAAATACTGTATTTTTAAAATTTTTTACGACCTCAGACACAACCTAGTAAGAAAGCTAATTTCGGCCATGACTAACCTTTAATACCCTCCAAAATTTAAAGGAAATAACAAGATGTAAAAAAGGCCGTTGAAAAATAATATAAATATTGGGAGGTACTGTTTTATGGGTGTTATACGAAGACGTGGACGCGTACAAGCAGCTTTGTTAAAAAAAAAAACTTGAAGACGTGGATCTGCTTACGAAATTTTCTCATGTAATACCCATTATGAACTTCAAATACGAAATTTGAAACAGTTCCAGAGAATAATGTCGCTAAAATCTTTAAAATATCGAATATCGGGAGGTACCGTCATATGAGGGCTATACGAAGACGTGAACCTGCACAGACAATTTTCTGTCATAGGCTGTAGTATACATTACGAACTTTGAATACCATATACGAACTAAAAACGCAAAAATCATGAAAATACTAATTATCGGGACGCTCTTCTATTGAGTTTACGATCTTGTCACTTGAGTAAAAAAGATTTTTTTTTTGTGCGAGGAATATCGCAGACAAAAAACAAGGTATTCCCTGCCTTACCCTTGGTAAACATTACCATCGTTCTCCATTAATAAACAAACGTTGTTTTTATAAAAGGGATAAAGGTATTAAGCCTGACCATTTTGAAACAACAAAATACTATGGTATCCCGATCAAACATGCCAACACTGTTCTGTAGAATTAATTCAAATATATAGTTAATATTCGGATCACAACAGGGCCCAGGTAGCAAATCTTAAAAACCTTCTGTTTTAAGAAATGTGTGAGGATCTAAAACGGACAACTATTTGTTTTTCCTGTAATAATAATGGTTATTGGAATTTCGTTGGTAATATACATTTTTCGAAATCATATAAAAATTCGTTTCGATATTTAAATTAAAAATAATGTGTTTTTCTCATTTTACTAAAATTAAAATTTCATTTGAAATTTCATCCCTCTTCTTTTGGTTGTACCAAAAACTCATTTCAACATAATTACATTGCAATTATTTGATTGTTGTATGTATGTATGTGTAATGTTGCGGTTAGTTTAGTTAATTTGTGAGAATTTAATTTGAAATTTCTATTGACACTAGACCAACCGACATTTTAGTTTAATATCCCGGATTATAAACACTCACAGTAATTTACAGTAATGAAGAACAGCATCGATGGATGTATGTGGCTCCATGGGCCATGCCACATGTGCTGAAGTTGCGCGTTTCTGTTTTTTTTTTTTCGTTATATTCACATGTTATTAATGTTTTATGATAACGATGACGATGTGTAAGAGTGTGTTTGGGTGTGTTAGTGTTGTATATATGCTTTAATTGTATTATGGCTACAATGGTTGCAACGAAACATTTATACGAACCGTTGATGGCGATGATGATGATGACGATGTTACTCTTTGTACAATGTTATGATTTTTTGTTTGCTCTGTATCAGAGCTCAGAGAAAGTGTGTGTTGGTGTGAGAGGGAGAGAGAGTGAGAGTTTAAGTTGTAGCATCTCTTCCCATTGGGAAAAGTCTATTCATTATCTATGTATGTGAGATGGTGGTGTGTTGTTGTTGCTGTTGCTGCTGGTGTTGCGAATGATAATCTCCGCTTAAATGTGATGGCATCAGTGTCGTTGTTGCCATCAGTCCTGTTGTGTTGCGCATTGTATTGCCGGAGTGGCCCATAATGCCCTGGGGTCAGTTAACGCTGACCAATGGTTCAAGTGTGGTTAAGTGCAACAATTGCTGTTGTTGTTGCTGCGGCTGCTGACGTTGATGCTGTTGCTGTGGCAGTTGTTCGGATGATATTATTGTGGCGGTTGGTGGCGGCAGTACTACAACTATTGCCTCCGGTGGCATTGTCTTGCTGCTGCTGCTGCTGCTGCCACTGCTGAGCTGGTGATGCGCTGGTGTTAAGGGCGTACCCAGCATTGTGGTTGTCCCTCCAGCAGATGGTGCCCCCGGTGGTATAACTGTGGCGGCAGCAGCCACAGCAGCCTGAGCTGTGGTACTGCCACAGTTAAGAGGTGTTGCTAAGTATCTTAAATTTAAGTTACTACAACTTGAAGATTCCAATGCTGACATTGCAACTCCCGAGGGATTGGAGGAGTTGCCGCCAGTTGCAGATGACATCATCATCATTGTTTGTGGTGGTGGTTTTGTGCTGGGCAACTGTGGTGCCGTTGATGGTACAACTATCAGTTCATCAATGGTACAGACGCGATCATCAATGGGGAATTTGAAATTTATTTCATTTGCCTGGGCCTCCACGTTATCGTTGGTGCTCTTGCTGGGATTCAGTGGCTCCGAGGCCATACTTTCATAGCCGTTCCCGTTGGCATTTAGGGGAGTCTTTTTCATGGTGCCATTTGTGGGTGATGCTGTGGCCGAGCCATTGCTATGGGCAGTAATGGATGTAGTGGTCGTTTCCAGATTCTTTTCCAGGCATTTGTCTTCACCTAAAGGTTTCGGGAGAAAAGAAAAAGGAAGAGATGAAAAAAAAATAAAATCAGGAAATAAATGTTTTCTATTCTTTTTAGAAAAACAAAAAGTTTGCAATTTGTTTCATGAAGGGAAAACATACAAGAATTTCCTTCACTGGGTGGGTGTCGAATATTTGTATGGTATTCATTCTATTTTATTCCTAGAAAGAAGGTTAAACATCAACCAACACGTAAAACATTTCTTTGGGGAATTCCGACAAAACTCTATCCAAATTTTCAGTAAAATTAAGTTAACATCCTCCTGCTGGGAAATGCAACCAACGTGGCAACATAATATTTCTCTAAAGTTATTGCGATGATTCCACGTGTATGTGGATATTCCATGGAAATGTGGTTACTTTGATTGTGAAGATTTTTGTTCAACTTGTTGCGAGAACTTTTCAAATGAAAACATTTTCCGGGAAGTATGTATATGCACACATACGTATATACATATGCAGATGTATAAAAATATTTCCTCGAATTAAAATTTCAAAATATTTTCAGGAAGCCAATGCGTATGCATAACATACAGCATTTCATATTAATTATACGCCACCGTTCACATAACTTGAATTAGTCTTAGTGTGAATTTTCGGGGAAACGAGGTTTTGTAGAGTAACGTATTTTCCTGAGAAGAGAAGTAATTCATTTTAAGTTTTGAAAATTATGGCTCTAATACAATATTAGTTTGTTTGAGTAGAGTATTGGGGGTTGATTCGGATTTTTTTTTTTTTTTTTTTTGTGAAAATTTTGAGCGGCTTAACCAACGGCGAACACAATATATACTGTTTATACGTGGGACTTCGCTAGATTCCAATTATCAATGTAATCTCCTAAGTTCATTATTAGATCAACTCGAAAGAGAAAATTACGAAATTTAACAATGTTTGAGGAAGCTGTTGCGTATACATAATGCATATTATTTCATATAACTTATACGCCACAATTCACTCAAATTGAATTAGGCTTAGTACGAAAGTAAAAGTAAAACAAGTTAAATAGTATCAGTCGGTTTTGTCGACAGATGTACGAGTATACCCCCAGCCTTGAGGGGTTTCGAAGCAGTTGGCCAATATTGTCCAATTCGTATCTGATATAAGTCTGATGTAAATATTACAACGTGCCATATTATATATACTATACCGTCTACTTCCTATATATGAGATATGTGCAAATTTTTGGAAAATGTGGAAATATGCGTCAGATATGGCGGACCGAAATATTCCACTTTATCTAATACAGATAAAAATATTGGTGTGTGCAAAATTTGAAGGAAATCGAATATTTATATCCAATTTTATGCGAAATCACAAATTCCGATTAATTATTCATATCAGATTTCTGGCTAAGAGAAATATTTAAATATTGCAAGTTATATAGAATTGCCGACTTGTTTCGCAATTATAACCGATATTAGATTTGGAAATTGGGACCCTTTGAGGTTGAGCTACCAGAAAGGATTGGCAAATATTTATCATCTTCATCTTCGTTAGCAAAAATGTTTGTATGTGTGAAATTTGAAGAGAATTGAATGATTATGCCGCCTTTTATAAGCATTTCGTTTTTCAAAATTTTTAACCCTTTGTGGGGGGAAGTACCAGAAAGAGTGCGCCGATTTCCACAGCAGATCTTGTGTTAGTGAATATAATGACATGTTTGAAATTTGAAGAAAACCGGATACTTATTTTGGATTTTATGGCCGTTTTGATTATTCAAAACTTTGACCCTTTGTGGGGAAGTTTTCAGAAGAAATGGTCCGATCTCTAACATCTTTATAACAGATCTTGTGTTGATGGAAATATTGAGATGTATAAAGTCTGAATGGAATCGAACGTTATTTTCGCGTTTTATGAGCTTCATGGATACTCAAAATGTTGAACCTTTATGGGGGAGGTGCCAGAAGGAGTGGTCCTATTTATCCAATCTTCACACCCTACCTTGGATTAATACAACTATTGTGATGCGTGTACTTTGAAGACAATCGGACTCTCAATTCACATTTTATAAGAATTATAATTATTCAAAATATTGACCCTTTGTTGGGAAGATACTTGATGGAGTGGACCGATTTGTCCATTTTCGCACCTTGCCCAGTGCTGATGCAAATATTAGGAGTTGCAAAGTTGAAGCCAAATCGAATCATCCTTTCTCTGTGCAGTAAAATATTTGTTTATTTTTTGAAAATTTTCTGGGGGGGAGGTACGACTTTTATCATTTGTTAGAAAATATTGGAATATGTTAAATTTGTTATTGTTATTCAAAATGTTGACCCCTTTGTGGCGAGCTCCTAGAAGGAGTGCTCCGATATCTACCATATTCACAACATATCTTGTGTTGGTAGAAATAGTGGAATGTGCCGAGTTTAAAAGATATGGAATGGTCATATCGAGCTTTATGAGCTTCATGGATTTTAATAATTTTGACCCGTTGTGGGAAAAGGTACCAGAAGTAGTTCTTCAGACCAGATCTTGTGTTAGTAGATACATTAAGTTATACCAAACTTTATGACATTCAAACTCTTATTTCACATTTCATCCTTCTTGGGGGAGATATGAACGGAATTTGAAGATAGTCGCACTTTTATTTCATTTTTTTGCTCTTTTTTGTACCCTTCACCATAGTATGGAGAGTATATTAAGTTTGTCATTCCGTTTGTAACGCCACGAAATATACACTTTAGATCCCACGAAGTATATAATCTTGATCACATAAAATTCTATGTCGATATAGCTATGCCCGTCTGTCCGCCTGTGGAAATCACTCTAGCTTCCGGACGAAATGAAGTAAATTGATAAAATTTTACTTAACTGTATGTTATGTCTGCAGGCCTTTTTGTATTGAAAACGGGCCATGTAGGTTCACGTTTTGGTATAGCCCCCATATAATGGTACCTCCCTATTTTCGGTACTTTGTTAATTTTAGCGACATTATTTACCGGAATTGTTTCAAATTTGGTATTTGAAGTTCGTAACGAATACTGCAGCCTATGACAGAAGATTGTTCGTGCAGGTCCATGCCTTCGTATAATCCCCATATAACGGCACCTCCCGCTATTAGGTATTTTGATGATTTTACCGACATTATTATTCGGAATTGTTTCAAAGTTGGTATTTGAAGTTCGTAATGGATACTTTAGCCTAAGACAGAAAATTGTCTGTACAGGTCCAGGTCTTTGTATAGCCCCCATATAACGTTAAATCCCGATATTCGGTATTTTTATGATTTTAGCGACATTATTCACCGGAACTGTTTCAAAATTGGTATTTGAAGTTCGTAAGGGATACTTTAGCCTAAGACAGAAAATTGTCTGTGCAGATCCAGGTCTTTGTATAGCCCTTATATAACGGTACCTCCCGATATTCGGTATTTTGATGATTTTAGCGACATTATTCAGCGGAATTTTTTCAAATTTGGTACTTGAAGTTCTTAATGGATACGGAAGCCTATGACAGAGAATTTTCCTTGTAGGTCCTCATTTTGGTGTAGTCCTCATATAATGCTACCTCGCTATATTCGGTATTTTGATGATTTTAGCTACATAACACCAATTTTTTTTTTTAGTTTCGCATTTAAAAATTGTATTGGCTTATGACAAAAGTCCATGTCGTCGTGCAGACCCTAATATAACGGCTACATTCGGTAAATTTAAAATTTTAACAGAATTTTTAACGGATTTTATTTTTCTGAAAATTGTCAAATTCGTTCCAAATGGTGGAGGGTATTCGATGTTCGGCCCGGCTGAACTTACAGCCTTTTTTCTTGTTTAAATTACTTTGTATTGTCCGTCCGTCTGTCTGTGGAAATCACTCTAGCTTCCGAACGAAACGAAGTAGGTTAATAAAATTTTACTCGAACGTATATTATGTCTGCAGGACTTTTGGTATTGAAAATGGGCTAAATAGACCCATGTTTTTGGTTAAGCCACCATACAGCGGTACTTCCCTATATCCGCAATTTTGGTGATTTTACGACATTTTTCATCGAAGATTTTTCCAATTTCCTATTTGGATTTTGTAGTGGCTACTACAGCCTATCACAGAAAATTGCCTATGGAGGTCCACGTTTTTTTTAGGCCCAATATAACGGTAGCCAGCATTTTGATTATTTTAGTGAATTTATTAGCTGGAAAAAATTCAAATTTCGTTTTTAACAAATATATAAAAAAATTAGCTTAATTTAGAATATGAACTCTCTTCTGTAGAAATTAGTTACAGGTACAGGGTTGCCCATATTCGACGGATCCATGTTTTTTTCGATGACTCTTTGGGCCCATTCCAATCGACGAGGCTTGTCCGCAGGCAACATTCTGTATTGGTTTATGGTAAAAATCTGCTTGGACTGACGCTTCAAACGCGGTGTGACATCTCTGTCAAAAGTTATGGCGTTGCCAGATGGGTCTGTCGAATATGGGCAACCCTGTATATTACCTTTTTATACATTTCAGTTTATTTGAAATTAAAGCTTCTTTAAATTTATATCTACCACACGATAACAATAACATTTGGAACTAGACTTTTGTAATAACTACATCAAATTAATTTTAAATCATTTTTTATATATCGATTGTACTAAAAAGTAGTTTTCCCTTTCCTTAAATTACACATCAATTCCCCTGGAATGACATTATCAAATACCACTAACATGACCACACTTGCGTTGCGAAAAATGACAATAAATTTTATTTCATTTTCTTTTCAATTTTTTTGGTCTACACATTTACGCCATGAATTTCGTTGTAGTTTTTAATTGCTCCAGAATAAAAAAGACCAGCAATGAAACAAAAGAATGCCAAAAAAATCAGTAACTAACAACCACAAGCCATTCGTTCACTTTTACTTGCTTGCCGGCAAAAATGAGGAAAAAAAAATCGAAACTCTGCACCATAATTTCGCCAACAATATGTTGCGGAAGAGAAAAAACTTTGGCTTTTAAAAAAGTTTGGCCTTCCTCTTTGGGAACAGTTTTAAGTACCATTAAAAGTAAGAAAATAAATTTTGACGGTTTTGCTGGGTGGCTGGCTGGCTGTTTGTTTGTTTGTTTGCCGGCCAATTGTTTGTTGAGCGGAGTTTTGCTATAAAAATCACACCAAAATATAAAGCAGAGCAGCAGCAGGGCAATTCTTCAATTTATGCAATGCAATGGCATTGGGTTCGTCTCGGTTCGTTTCAGGGGAGGTTGGCTTGAAAGGGGTGTCATGTTCGATTCGATGCTTTGCCAAAATGAATTTCTTTCTCAGAATTGATTGTAGTGTTGCAGTAGTGGCAAAAGTTAACATGTTATGATGTACAGACACATACACACACACACACTTACACTACTACATAAGAAAACAAATTTAATTGAGGAAACAAACTGATGATATTATTTGACTAAAAACTTTCCCAAACAACTGGGTCAGGCTATTTATAACAACAAATATTTTGTATTATTGCCAATTTAATTTCCAATGCAATTCAAAGGGAAATTTTGGAAATAAATAAAAACCCTTAAGGCTTTTAGGCACGTCACAATGTCGGAGTGTTAGGTGAGAGTGGAAAAATTAGTATTTATTTCAAAATAAAATTTCCCATCATGCCTTTTTTGGAACCGCCTTCAGTGCTTTTATTAGCAGTTTCTGCCAATAAACAATAGTTGAATTAAAAACTTTTCTCTAAATCAAACTTTGTTTTCCCTTCATGATTCCTTTTTTTTGGCTTGGAATTCGACTGGAATTCCATGTTTGTTTTTATTACTCAAGTTTCGTAACTTACTTCCATTAAGATGATCCTCTCGTGTATAGTACCGTGCACGATTTCTCGAAAAACAGATTGCCACCGAGATTATTATGATGGCAATTAGAACAAATATAACACCGCCCAGAATGGCAAGAGTGTTGAGACCACCTGCAATAAAATTGAAGAAAAGAAACAGTTGAAGGGATTATTTTGTATTTTTTTATATTATGATATTTTTGAAAAAAGTAGGATACTTATTGTTGCTATGGATTAATTTGGGATATTTTTATACCCTACAACACTATGTGTTGGGGGTATTATAAGTTTGATTGGGCCAGAATTTATGTAACACCTCGAAATATTGATTTCCCATATAGGAAAGTATATATGGATCTTCCTAGCTCGCCGAGCTGAGTCGATCTAGCTATGTATGTCCGTCCGTCCGTCTGTCCGTCTGTCCATGTTAATTTGTAATCACTCTACAGGTCGCAATTATGGTCCGATCTTCACGAAATTTAGAATGTAGGTGGGGCTTGGACCAGAATAGAACCCTTTTGCTTTTGAAGAAATGTTTAGGGGTTGAAATGGACCAAATACTGAAAAAATGTCGGATTTTGCAGTAGCTATATAGGTCGCAATTATAGACCAATCGACGCGGAATTTCGCATGTAGCTGGAGTTTAGGGAGGGGAAGAAGCCCTCCAATTTGGGTGGTCATCGGATAATATTTAGCGGGTAAAATAGACCATATCTTTTGTGTTGAAAAAATTCAAAATTTTTCATTAAACCGCGAATATTTTAAATCCCGGCGAAATCATAAAGCCATGGCATGGTTACTTCTGATCTTTACATTGATGTTAACATCCAACAAATCGGATATTTAGCAAAATATGTGCGATATATATGTCTATCAAAGAAGATATGCTTGAAAGATCTCTTATATGTCGAGAACGGCTGAACTGATTTCGACAGTTCTCATTAATTCAGAATGGCCTCTTGGCAGGAAACAAAAAACGTCTAAAAAAATCGCATAAAAATATCTCTCTAAAGATGAAAATATTGATTTTGTAAAATTTTCTCATATTTTTTCAATTTTGTCATATTTTTGGCATATTTTAATTTTGAATTAAACATTTGGTAATATTTCTACAGCTAACAAAACTAAGTAGTTAGAATATCAGGATATCATATACAGATCGCATTTATGGCCCGATCCTTACGAAATTTTGCATGGGGATAAGATGAGGGTCAGAATAGAAGCCTACTCTTTTTGGAGATGATCGCCATATATTTAGGGGTTGAAATGGACCAAAAAACTGGAAAATTGACAAAATACGAAAATGTCCATTCCAGAGACTTTTTGGAGAATTCACAAATACAGGAAAGACGCACTTCTGACTATTTCGTTGAAGAATATAGTCAAATGTCTGTATCTCAGTCAAAAACCAATAATAAATGTTAATCTTTTGCCACTTCTGAGAGATTATAGGTCTTTGGGAAATAGTGGTTCCAGATCTAGGAAGACCATTTAAGTGCAATATCTACCAATAAATTGGAAATGAGCAAATTAGTTTAAGTTGTTATTTTTTCGAAAATTAGAGAACGAAACCTGATAGTTTCCTTTAATTATTTGTCACAATATCTTGTGGAATTCTGTCGAGTACTTCGCCTATATAAACTGTATGGTTTATTATAGTGTTGTAGGGTATTCAACGGTCGGCCCCGCTCGACTGTAGCCTTTGCTTACTTGTTTATGGATATTTTTGAAAAAAGTACTTATTGTTGCTATGGATAATGCGAGGATTTTAAATATTATTAAGTGTACATACAGAAAAAAAATTTAACGACGCATATTATAAATGTATGTTTTGATATACCCTACACCAATAAATCTGCATCGCGAATTAAAATATTTTGAGTTCTAAGTTTTTTTACTTTCATATAGCAGTACCTATCAATAGATTTTAACGTCAGCAAAACAAAAAAAGGAAAAAACCAATATTTTTATTCCCTCCATCATACTTTTCTTAATCAGTGTAAACTTTTAAGTCGTTTTAGCGATGTGCGTCTGTAATCGTAATTGTAATCACGCAGAAGGCTTAAATTTTTGCACACATGTACATTTTCCCAGAAGGCAGGTTAAGTTCGTAAATGGGCTATGTCGGTTGAGGTTTTCAGGTAGCCCTGATAGGTACTTCGTAATATTCCGTACCGGAATTGTTTCAAATTTCGTATTTAAAGGTCGATATAGATACATATAGTCCAGTCACTCGTTTTCGTATAGCCCCCATATAACGGTACATCCCGAAATTCGGTAACTTGATGAGAGAGAGTCTATGATAGAAAAGTTTTCAAGTTTCGCATTTTAATATTGTAATGGCTTATGACAAAAGTTGCCTATGCAGGTCCACGTCGTCGTATAAACCCTTATATAAAAGCTACATTCAATCTTTTTAGGATTTTAGCAGAATTTTTAACGGATTTTATTTATTTTTGAAAATTGCCAAATTCATTCCAAATGGTGGAGGGTTCGCTCGAACTTACAGCATTTTTAAAAGCTTTTTTTTATTAATATATATTTTTTTAAATCCATGTTAATCTATATATATTAATAAAATAGTAAAATTATTAAATATTCATTAAAGCCAAGACGAAACGGCTAAAGCCAGAATCTTATAATTTTGTATGAGGGTCACTCGTGGTTCGAAGGGGTCAGGTAAGGATTGTTTTTTGGAAACTTACGTACGAAAAGTTTTAAAATGTACTCTAAATATGGTAACCTCTGTATTTGAGGAAGCTGTAGTTAAAGCAGTGTTAAATTTTGGAATGAGGGTCACCGATGGAGCGTTTGATAGAAGTACTAATTTTTTTTTTAATTCGCACAACGAGTTTAGGAAAACTACAAAAATGTACTACATTTGGTACCATTTTTTTCGACGTGAACGGCTAGAGCTAAAAACTTGAAATTAAGATATGAGATTACCATTACATTTTAGTACTGAGGAATGTAGCTAGTATTGCAAATTCGTACTTATGTGTACTAAATGTTACAAAATTTGATACAATTTAAATTTTGGGAGAACCAAGAGAGTTGGAATCCTGAAATTTGAAAATAAAATTTGTATTGTCATTGTAGAACTAATTTATTAACGTATTTTTGGAAGTTCATATTTATGTGTGTTTTTAAATTTTGGGTGAATCGGTAGAGTTGAAATCATGAAATTTGAAAATAAGATTTCTTTTCAACTGTATGATGTAGGTAGTTATGGGTAGTTAATATGTCCTCTAGTGTACTAAATTTGATACAATTTGGATTTATGTGAACCGATAGAGACAGTCCTGGAATAGGATTGTGTTATGTAAGAAGTTTTGGAAGTTCGTACTTATCTGTACTATATGGAACTGAATTTGGTACAATTTGTACTTAGGCGAACCGATAGGGTTAGATCCTGAAATTTAGAATTGGGGTTTCTGTGGAGTGGAGGATTTTGGTATTTAAGTTGCTTTCAAAATTCGTAATTATGTGTACTAAATACTACTAAATTTGGAAAAATAAGGATTTAGGCTGGAACCCAGATTTCTATTGGATTGTATGATTATGGAAATGTGTACTAACGTATACTTATTTCTACAAATTGGAATTATGGTGAAACGATAGAGATGAAATTCTGAAATTTGGAAATGATATTTCTATGGGATTGTATGATTGAGGTATGGTGGTATTTTTGGAAATTTGCAGTGTAGTATTGGGGTATGTAGGAAATTTTGGAAATTCGTTCTTATGTGTACTATATTTGGTATAATTTGGGTTTGTGTGAACCGATAGGTCTGAAATCCTCAAATTTATAAAAAATACATATTGTTAAAATGCACTACATTTGGAATTATCAAAAAATCAATTCATATAATTGATGTTTATGTAAGGAGACGGTTTTAAAGAACTGTACTAAATTATACTAAATTCAGTAGCTGGTAATTTCAAATATTGGTATTGAGATCCCTTGATCATTGAAAAATAGTTCGGTTTAGAAAATATGTAGTACAAGTGCACGAAATGTACTAAATAGTACTATATTTTGTACAATTGGGTGAACTGATAGAGCTTAAAATCTGAAGTTTGATGGTCGCAGTTCATGTGTAATCTAAGCATATGGTGGTGGTTTCGGAAATGTGTACTATAATTGTACGAAACGTACTAAGTGGTAGAAAATTTGGTATTGCGTGAAGGGACAGAGATAAAATTCTTAAATTTGATATTTAGATTACTGATGGCATTTGCTTTTGAGGCTAGGGTCTGGTTTGGAAAAGCTGTTATGCTGTTACGAAAAGTACTACATTTTATTAAATTTGGTATTGAGTGGATGGATAGGGATGGAATATCCGAATTTGATACTGAGATCTCTGCTGGTATCTGGAATAGGAATATGGAGGTGTTTTTGAAAATGTTTAATATAATTGTAAGAAAAGTATTAAATTGTACTAATTTTTCTACAATTTGGTATTGGGTGAACAGATAGTGCTTGAAATCTGAAGTTTGGTGTTAAGGTCGCTGTTCATGTGTAGCCTGGACACATGGAGGTGGTTTGGGAAATGTGCAATATTATTGTACGAAAAGTACTGAATGGTACTCTATTTGGTATTGGGAGATAAAATTCTGAAATTTTATTTTTAGATTACTGATGGTATCTGTGTTTAAGAGTTGAAATGCGTCATAGATTTCTTCAAAAAGTACTAGATGACACTAAATTGGGTATTACTGAGGTCTCTGTTGGTATCTGGTGTTGAAGTCTAGTGGTGGTTTTGCAAACGCACACTATTATTGTTTGAAAAGATCTAAATAGTACTAATGTCGAATATGAGATTGTCTTGGATTAATGTTGCAAAATTTGTTATTGGTTGCAGGAATATTGCTGAAAGTCACTGTTGGTTTCTAGGGTTTACCTATAGAGACGTAAAAATATTCTTGGACAGAAAAATTGGATGTGGGTCCATTTTGCAATAGTTTTACTCATATCCTCCTCGGTAAATTCAAAATGAATGATTTTTAAAACTTTTTAGTGAAGAAAGTTAAATTTTACAAATTTATAATAAATAAATACCTAAATTTGTTACAGGTCAGTCAGGATCAGTCATTCCGGTCTTCATATTTGACGCCTTCAAAAGCATTAAGGCATACATATAAGATAATCTAATATTTTATACTTCCTATTTATTGTCTAGGCTTAAAAATAATGTATCCCAGCTACCTATATTCAAATAGACCCGCTTATTGAAATATCCTCCAACATTTCACTTACCCGCTTCAAGAAAATTGTGTGATGTACTGGCTGCATTCTGTTCCTCATCGGTAATGTATTCCAAACAGGAATCCAAGCCATTTGCATCCAAGTCCGTTATCTCGGCACCCCGTAAAGTTTTTGGTAGAAAACAAATCGGATATGTTTCCCATTTCCATTGTAACTGAAAAGAAAAAAAAAAAACAACAACACCAAAAAATATAACAAATTCTATGAGAAATGGCAAAAGGAACAAACACCGTGTACAATAACAATAAAAAACGACAAATTGTAAATCATAATAACTGCAAAAAAAATGGAAAACTATACAACTTAACTACAAAATATAAAAATGCTAAAGGAAACAAATGCACTGCAAACACTCCCATGAACTGTAAAGAAATATGTAAGAGTGCGGGGGAGAAAAAGAAAACTAATATTAGATAACTTCCATTCACAAAGTACTAGCACAACCCGCAACAATTGCATGGCAATGCAGTGCACGGCAACAGGAACAACTACTATGACAAATAACTGTTTTCCTTTGGATATTTTTCAAAAATTTATTTTGATCTCGCAAAACACAGGAAGCATCATTTGCATATGAATTTTATGTTTCTTCATTTTTCTTCAGCGTTTTTTCTTCTTCTTTTATTCTTTTTACCTTTATTCGATTTTCAAGTTGAAAAAAAAAAAAAATGCACAAGACAAATAGTATTAGTAGAAGAGAGAGAGAGAGGAAGAAAAGGGAATATCACCCCATAATGAATTGCAGATTTTTTGTGCGTGGTATGCAATTTCTTTGGAAAATGCATTTGAATTATAAGAACATTTTTGTAAATAATGGAAACGGAAAAAGGAAGTGCACACTTTTCCCCAGGGGATTTAGGAGAAATCACTTTGTATTATAAATCGCGGTTCATTGCAAAAAAACTAAATTTAATATTTTATAACTCAATTGCTTTGTAATCTAAAAAAAAAAAAAAAAATAATGAAGAAAAAGGTCAAAAACTTTAAATGAAATTAAAAAAAAAATAATAATACAATTAATATTTAATTATCATCAATTATTGTCGTTGTAATGGAAGCAGTTGATAATAAGCTTCTTAGAAGAAATTAAATTTCAATTTGTGTGTTTGTAATTAAGCACTCTAGAAAAATGAGAATTCTTTTTGAACTCACCTGTCGCACAACATCGATTAATTTGCCCATGTGACATTCATCACATATCAGAGGGTTGTTATCCAATCGAACATTGCGAATAGCTTTGATACGTAACACGAGCTCTTCATTAATTCCATGCAATTGATTGCGTGAGAGATCTAGGAACTGGAAATAAGAGGAAAAAAATATAAAAACGCATTAGAAAATATACGAGATTCTAGAAATATTTCTGAACAATGATATCATGTGAAATAATTTGATACAATTCAAGGTTAAAATAAGACAAAAGGCAAAAATCTGTTTCAAACTGTAAAGTTCAGGAAGGTTGTTAAAAATGGGAAATGTTTGACACATATTAAAAAAAACGAAAGGTCTATTATTTGTAAAATAGTTAAACATGTCGTATAAGTTTCATAAGCTAAAACGGACTGCAACGTTTGCACCCATAATTGCTTTGGGCTATTTGGAAATTGTATTTGAGATGTGATATTTAAAAGCTATAGGGAAGCTTTTCATAAAAAACACAAAAAAGTTCAGAACAAGTAAAAAAGCACTTGTTTTAGAACCTTCTACCATTTGGAAGAACCTAGAAAAACTAAAAAAAAAAACGTCGAAAAATACCGCTTAAAACCGATATTTAGGGGTTATACGACAACAAGGACCTTCAAATAATAAATTTAAAACAATTCCTTTGAATAATCTTGTTAATATTAAAATATCGAAAAAAAAAACGGAGGTACCTTTACATGTGGGGTATACGAAGACGTGGACCTGCATAAACAATTTTCTGCCATAGGTAGAATCATCCATTACAAATTTCAAATACGAAATGTGTAACAATTCCGGTGATTAAAGTCGCTTAATTCATCAAAATACCGAATATCGGGAGGATTTTTTATATGGTGGCTATAAGAAAGCGTTGACCTGCATAAGCAAATTTTTGGCAGAGGCTGTAGTATTAATTCCGAACTTCAAGTACGAAATTTGAAACAATTCCGGTTAATAATGTCGCTAATATCATCAATATACCGAATATTGGGAGATACCGTTATATGGGGGCTATACGAAGACGTGAACCTTCATATGTGATACAGGGTGAGATAAAAAACTGCCACAAAGTCAAACGCCATATTTTTTAAATTTTTTTAAATTTTATTGATTGGTCGTTTTGGCACGAGTTATGACCTTCAAGCGGCTAAAGAAACCGTCACACGCTGCCCTAATGTTGCTCTGCGATAGTTTGGTCCATTCCCGATGAAGCGCTTGCTTGAGGTGATCGACACTTTGGTATTTTTTAATGCCAACCTTGCTTTCAAAAATACTCCAGACACAATAGTCCAACGGATTGGTATCCGGAGATTTTGGTGACCATTGAGCGCTGGAAATGAAGCGAGGAACCTCATTTTGTAACCGCTCTTGGGTGGCGCGTGCTGAGTGCGACGGTGGTGATTCCTGTTGGAATGTCTAAGGTCTGCGGCCATTGTGTGCTGGAAATGAAGCGAGTAACCTCACTTTTTAACCATTATAGGGTGGCGCGTGCTGCGTGCGATGGCGATGAGTCTTGTTGGAATGTCCAAGGTAAAATGTTTGCGTGCCCAAACACCCTCCAGAATATTTTCGCGATAATATTCAGCATTTATTCTGATGGTCGATTAATACGAGCGGAGAGCGGCGGCCCACACCATCACCATGGCCGGCGCTTGAGTTCTGGTGGCCAATCGAAGGTGCACATTTTCCGCAGACCTCTTTGGCAAGTAAACGCGATCATTTTGTTTGTTTACAAACTGCTGGACAACGAATGTTTCCTCATCGGAGAAGACCAAATTCGGCAGTTCACCACTTTCGGCCAAGCCAAGCAACTCTTTAGCTCTTCTGAGTCTATTTTCTTTCTGTTGCGGCGTAAGTTTTTGTACTTTTTGGAATTTCAATGGCCTTACCCCGAGCTCATTTTTCAATATTTGCCGAATGGAATATTTCGATATGTTCAGCTCACGAGCCATATTTCGGCTACTGCGACACGAGTTTCGATCATCAAATGTTCTTCAAGCTTGCTGCGCATGCCAACACTGCCGCCCTAAAGGGGATTATCGAGAAAATAAAACCGCCGTGGGAAAAGGGCAGCCTCAAGTTGGTGAGGTGGAACGAAATTCCTCGCCTAACTAAAACGACGGTATACGTTAGAGGATTTGGTAGCAAATTCGGTACGGAACGTATGCTCGAAGTCTTTCACAGGGAGAAGAAGGAGGATGGCACACTCCTTGTGATTGGAATTGACGATCTCTCCATGGCCAGTTTTACAAAGATTAAGGGCATGGCATTCTATGTCTCGAACGCTGTCAGGTTCAAAAATAATAAGGTGAGGATCGGAGACGAGGGCACCAAGTATACGCTTGTAAGCAATATAATATGCTGTCACTGGAATAATTTTAACAGCTGTCGGACGAGTGGCTTAGAAATTACAGGAGTCTGAAGTTGGTTGCTTTTTTTTCGTCTCACCCTCTATATATTCCATTTAATCCAAACAACTTTTGATCTATCCACCAATACATGACCACAAGGATATCATTTTTATACTTCCTCTATGTTATTAAAAATACATTTCCAAATGCTCCGAACGCACTTCAAGCAACATAAAAATATGATTTATTACTTCTTCCCGGCACCAGATGGGAATTTATATTCTCAATTCCACAATGTCACTTACTTACTTAAGGCCCCCACTAAATTCAACTTCAATTACGTAATAGCTTTAAAGCAATAAAAATGTATTTTCTTTATATTTACTTCCTATTTTACGAAGAAAAATACTTTGAAATCCTTAAGAAAATAAAAAAAATTACAATTAGAAAAAAGCGAGAAAGTGCACGAGGAAAGAAAATATTTTTTATAGCCATTGCAGCAGCACAAGTAAATTTGTAATAAAAACTGGTCATTATCAGTCCGGTCAGCCAATGCAATATTACTTTGGCCGGCATCCTCCCCTGGGCAATGTTATAGTGGCAAACATTGTCGGAAAAGTTCCATGACCAACCAAACATACCAACCAATGCCTTGTGGCAATAACATCAGTGTCAGTTTCGCAGGAAGCTACTGACATCTTTGGTCATTCAATTTAGAGGACTTACCCCTTTACAGTAGCTGGACAGAGGCAAAAAACGGGAGCTTCTTCACATATTCGAACGTACATACGTGTGTCTGTATAGTTTCGGCCAGCGGAGATGTATTTGTATTCGTTTTTACTACTCATAAAATTTATTGCTTACTCCCACCCAGTGGTATTGGTTTAATAGTAACAACAACAGCAGCAAACGGACTTGTTCTACATTGGAGATATTTTATCCCAAGAGACTATAACGGAGGATTTTTTGCTTTGTTCGTATAACACAACATATCTTCGCTCTGTATCTTAACCCTACATATGATACTGGCTAGCAAGCAAGCAAACGAACAACAGCTGTAAGCACTTGTATTTCCTGTTGGTTGTACAGCTTTCAAACCGAACCAAAGATAGGAAAAGAAAAACAGAAAACTGCGGTAATACTGTCCGAGATGTTTTCAAGTTGAAATGTAAAACCACCAAACTGTAGTAGTGGGTTGCGATGCAAAAATTTTTGTTGATATATAGCATTGTTGCCAGAAAAATCGGATGATGTTGACATGCTCTGCAATAAGGCATATATATGTAAATAATAAGGCAAATTTCGGGTTCTTAAAAACCTTTTTTTGGAAATTTGTATTTTCAGATTTTGGAGAAAAATTAAAAATTATGAAATATAACAAGTAAAAAAGCGCCCAAGTTCAGCCAGGCAAAATTTCAATATCCTCTACCATTTCGAAGGAACTTAAAAAAAATATCGTGAAAAATACCGTTAGAATCATATTGCTAGAATCATTAAAAAAACGAATATTGGGAGGTAATATGGGTGCTATACGAAAACGTGGACCTGTATAGACGATTTTTTTGTCATAGGCCGAAGTACCTATTACGAACTATAAATACGAAATTTGGAAAAAATCCTGTAAATAACTCGTTCAAATACCGAATATCGGGAGGTATCGGTATTTGGGAGCTATACGAAAACGTTTTCGAAGTTAGCCTGCATAATGACAAAATACACATGTGTGTAAAATTTTGGTCTTCTGTCCCAATTCGTTCGGAAGATAGCGTAATTATAATAGACGGACATCGCTAAATCGACTTAAAATTTTACGCTTATCAAGGTTATATGTACTTTCTTGGGTCTGACATGAGAATCTCGACAGGAGTATTTGAAATTTTGCGCGCTGGTCTGTCTTGGTGTGTAGGCCTATGATAAGACTGCATTTTTGGAAATTCATACTAAAAGGGTACGTAAAGTATTAAAAATTTAATACGTTTTATTGGACAAACAGAACGTTTTAGAACTCTGAAATTTGGAGTGACTCTCATCATTGAGAGTGCGGTAAAGATGTACCAAAGAGTTTTTGAGAAATTCGAAGCCTGAAGTTACGAAAAGTTCTAAAATGGTACTAAACTTTTAGAATGGTACCATTTGCCATTATGTGAACGGATAGAGCTAGAAACTTGAAATGTGGTATGAGAATCAATGTTAGAAAGTAAGTTTGATAGATGAAGGTGGTTTTGAAAATTTGTACTAAGTGTGCGAACTGTACTTAATGATACTAAATTTGGAACAGTTTGGTTTAAGGTGAACGGATGAAGCTGGAATTTTAAAATTAAGTGTTGTTGTCCCTGTTGGTGGCATGGTTGTGATAAAGTGGTGGTTTTGGAAATGTGTACTGCAAGTGCACGAAAATGACTAAATTGTACTAAATTTGGTACAGTTCGATTTGAACTGAACCAACCGATAGAGCTGGAATACTCAAATTTAGAAATAGGATTAGTATTGCACTGTAGGACTGAGGTATTTAGGTAGTTTTGGAAATTCGTACTTATATTAAATGGTAGTAAATTTAGTACAATTTAAATTTTGGCAGAATCAATAGTGTCGGAATTCTGACAATGTATTGTAGGACAGAGGTATCTATGTAGCTTTGAAAATTCATACCTATGTTATGGTTAAATTTAAATTTAGGAAGAACCAATAGAGCAGGTATACTGTCGGAATGTAGGATTGTAGCTTATATTTAGTCTTGGAAATTTGTACTCATATGTACTAAATAAA